GGAAAGAGTTGTACAGCCATCAACTTGATGTCAGTTCTCTAAATAAATAAATAAATAGAATCCTGAAACGAGCTATGAACAAACCATGGGAAGCACAATGCAGAAAACAGTACAATAAATAACTACTAGCATATGTTAATCATAAATTGTCAAATCAGTCTCATTTCCACTACAGCAAGGTAGCGGGTGTTGCTAATAGAGGAGTAGTAGTTATATATATGTCTGGACTTAATTAGAAGTTTTTTGTACAGTTTGGCATGGCATTTTCATAATCATATTAGGAAAGTCTAACATAGACGTAATGCAGTTGGTGTAAAGCTGTAGTGAGATGGTAGTTCACAGTAAAGTAGAAGGAGTGTACGTAGTGGATTCTGGAGTGTATCTTTTCAGTCCAGTATTATTCAGTATTTTCAATAAGAAGTTTGACGGTGAGAAAGAGCATGTTTATTAGATTTGAAGAAAATAGCAAGTGAGGGAGAATTTCAAGCATGCTGAAAAAGAACATTAGGATTAAAATTGATCTTGACAAATTGAAGATATGGTAGGTCTGGAAAAAAAAACAACCCTGTTCCGAAGGTGTGAGTATACAGTATTGCACTCGAATAGAAATAGCAGCTGCAGAAATAGGGGATGATGAGCAGATGCATGGGTTCAGCATACAGGATGAATTGAGGGTTAATATGCTACATAACCCTCATGCTTCAGCTACATAAAAGGCTGCAACAAAGAGGAAGAAACTAATATTTTTTCATGTCTGTGACAGGATATGTAGTAGTAGTAAGGAAAAATTAGTTTATGTATTAGGAAGAGCTAGCTCTAAGCAAAAATAGTTAAAGCATAGGGACAGGTAGGTGGGTCAGACTACAGTGTTCCCAGTATTGGGGGACTTAAGAACAGACTAGGCAAACATCTGGCAGTAGTGAAATGGTATAGCTGGTTATGATACGGATGACATCACCTGATTTGCTTATGGAAGTGGATGACTTAGACATCTTTACATCACCTATGACCCTATGGCTTAACAACTGAATTGATACTAGTTACTTTTTATATTAATAATTCTCTACTGATTCTTCCTAGAGCAGCTATTGAACTTCAGATAAAGCTTTTAACTGTGTATGTAGAAAATGGAAATGAAACATTCCATGTGATGTGATAGGGTGCGCTCAATTGTATGTTGGCAGCACCTGCAGGTTTATTGGTATGAAAAGGGGATCTGTCATTTCATGTTTTCTCAGCCAAGCGTGGGTGGGCGCTTTAGACAGGAATGTCCTGCCCACTGCTGTTCTCATCCTGTTGAGTGAAGAAGAGCAGCAGTTGAGAAAACAGGAATTGTAGATGGTTTTCCTGAGTAGCTGGAATGGAAGTAACCGTGCTTCCAAGCAGAAATACAGAGAAGGATCTCTTCAGGACCTGCTTCCTTTGAACTTTTCCTGTGCTTTATTTTAGTCGTTTGCACGTGTAGGAAGAGAGGATATGACTGGAAATGGAAAAGTAGAGAATGAGTGGGTGAATGAGTGAAGAATAGTGAATTCATGGAAATCATATATAGCTGGAATGTTTTCAGTAAAATAAAACTTCACTGTTTTATCAAATCTGAGGTACACTAGATGCACTGATGTCCAGAGAAGATTAAATCTAAAATAAGTTTCAGGGAAATGAGAAGAATGGCAGTGGATATGGCAGGTTGCAGTTAGCAATTTCTATGCTTGGGGTGTAAATCAGAGCACTGGTCTAAGAGGCATAGGAATAGTTTCTTGTGCTGCATAATTCAGAGTGAGCAAAGCCAGAAAAACTAGTTGAAACCTCAAAAGTTGCTGCAAAACAGAATCACATTTTTTTTGTAATTATATAGAAGAATAAGCTGTAAATAAAAGGTTTTTTGTCATTGATTCTAGTTCACAAACCTTTCCCACATCTGACTTGTCTGAGAAATGTACATATTGATATAATCTGTTTTGAGTAGAATCTGGAAAGAGTAAGAGCAATTGGTTGTGCACATTGCTCTCAGTTTCTTTATAGATTCTTAACATGCAATGTGGATGTTGTTTTTCTCACTACTGGTTGGATGTGCAAATTTGGCCGTGCAGAACTACAAACTTTGATCTTTGAAAGCTTGTCCTATTATTTTAATACTAAAGTGGAACTTAGCTTTGAATTATTTCTAACACAGTCTCTGATAAATCAATATTAAATATCAAATTAAAATTTGCTATTTCTATAGCAACACGAGGCAGAAGTTAAACAGCTGACAGAAGCCTTGAGAGAAATAACTAAAGAAAATAGGAGGCTGAAGTCATCATTTGACACCTTGAAGGAAATGAATGACTCTTTAAGAAAACAGGTAAAATTAGTTCTTTCAGGTTATCAATAATTTTACAGGTTACGGTAAACAATTTTAAGTATTTGAACAGCTTAAGTTTGAAAAATTGCTGAATTTTTGTTTCTGTAAGACAAGAATTGTATGAATGACTGAAAGTACTTTCCATGCCTTTTTCTAGTACTTGAAATTTAGCCTCTCTGATCTTTTTACAATATAAAAAAAGTTGGACTTATTCCTCTAACCCACTAGCAACAGCTAATTGTTAGGAAGGACAAACCCATGTCCTCTGAGCAAAATGAGAGTAGATGGAGAGGAAGTATTTTGCAACATAATAGAATCCACCCTGTGCTGAATTGCTGCACTGTTTCTATTAAATAAAAAGTAGAATGTGTATTCCTAACTTCATGTTTGCTCAGTATTTTTAGTTATTTTTACAAATGTTAATTAAAGCAGTATTTTCTGAGTTTTTAAACTGAGACAGTGGTTCATAGTAATACAGAGAGTAAGAATTTACATCTCACTTGACTGTTAAGTCTGACTTAAAATGCTGACGCGCAAATTGCTATGTAAACTGTTTGACCTTTGTTTATTCAGTGAATTAATTACAATTCTGATAGTCTGAGTATAATAAAAATCTACATCAGAGCCTTATTCTTTCTCTTAGAGAAGGTCAGACCTAACTCCTAGAATGTTGATGGTTCTGGTGCAACCCATCTGTCTCTTTATTTCTTCTCACTATAAAATCTTTGCATTTCTGTGCAAACTGAGGACTTCCGTGATAATCATGCTGTTCATTGTTGTATGCCTAGAGCATGTTTCTTATATTTAAATGGCAGTTACAGTTTCCCTCATCTTTTTTCACAGAGGAAACTGTTTCTATAGCATGGCCAGTAACTGTTTCATTCTACAGAGAAGAAAATTTTCACCTTCTCCATTAACAAAACTATTGGACCATTCTTGAAATGTGCGCTCCATTTTTTGTCACTTCTTCATGAAGAGTAATCAAATGTGTAGTGCCCATATATCTAGAGAGGCATTGTAGTGCTTATTCTTTCCCTGCAGGCTGAGAAATTGGGCTGCAGGTCAACAAAGAGCTAGTGCTGTCTTATCTATCCTGGCACAGAGAGGTGGTGGAGTCTCCAACCTTGGAGATGTTAAAAAGCTGTCTGGACATAGTGCTGGGCAGCTGGCTCTAGGTCGCTCTGCTTGAGCAGGGGGGGTTGGACCAGATATCTCCAGAGGTGCCTGCCAACCTCAACTAGCCTGAGATTTGTTGAGGAAGTGGATGATTTTGTTTCTATGCCTTCACATGCTCAGAAGAAAAAACTTGAACTTAAATAATTTAGCTGCTTAGCAGCCACATCAAATTATTTCAATATGTAATTAAGTCAAGAAGTGAGTTTTGAATTCACAGATACTTTAATGTTTTCTGATTCTTTCAGTTAAGTGATGTAACGGAGCTGAACAAGAAGTTAGAAGGTCAAGCAAGGAAAGTACAAGCCCGTTTAGAGAATCTACAAGTAAGGTTTGTTCTTACTTGTACCTCCTTCCTTTATAGGTAACAAGTGAATTATAATCCATTGTTACATTTTGTTGTAGAGGAAGCATGAATTTTTAATGGTGCAGAAGTCTAAGGATATACATCAAGTGGTGCAACAAAGTAAACCTGTCAAGCAAGAAAAAGTGATGGTAACATCAAAAACTGCTAAGGTAAGAATTGTACAAAATGAAAGAGTCATTCTAAAGACATTAAGCAGTGGAACAGTCTCTGTGTAGCTGCTAGAAATTAGAAAATGTAACTTCCAATTTTATTTATTTTATGAGTTAATTAGTTACAGTAAGAAAAGATACAGATTGTAGTGAGGGAAAACAGCAAAGAATTAAGCTCGTTGCTAAAAATAAGTCTGTCGGATTTCATATTGTGTATGCATATAGTGTATGTATATATTTTTATTTATATGGTATGTTTTCCTCTTCCTGTCACATCATCTTTCATCTGTCAGTTAAAATTATAACCTGCTTACACTGTAACTGGTTTCTTTCATGGTGTCAGAGCAAATTTTAAACTCATTCTGGTTACTGCTCCAGTACAGCGCTGTTCTTATGAATAACACCAGCTAAAAAGTAGTCAGTCAGAGATATCAGATAAAGAATTTCAATTTTGTGAGCCACAGGTGATTGTACTACTGCTATTTTTTGAGAAATAGTCTTTAATGTGGGAAAGAGAATAAATGCAATAGTTATACGTGGTTCCAAAATTATCACCTTGTTCTCCTTAAAATCTCTTCTTACATCACTTAATGAAATGCTTTCTGTCTCCATATTGTTCCATTTCGTAGTGAGTCCTCTGGTAGTAGTCTACCAACATCTCCCAACTGCTAATGATTTTCTCCATCTAGAGGCTAAACTGTGAAATGGGAAAGAGATACTCACAACATCCTACTTAATTAATCTACATCAGGTGCCTTGAACCTGTGCTGTCTATATATAGCCAACGTATTTCTCTGTTTACATAGGTTTTAGTGTACTTTGGTTGCAAGTGAAATATAAACAGTATCAGTAGTTATAGTTCTGAGCGAAGAGGAAAACAGTTATCTGAAGGTAGATACCAGAAAACTTTTGAAGTCTTTAGAGAACTGTTCGTGCAGCCTGTCTTCAGGTACCTCTGCATATCTTTTGTAGAGTATTTCATTGCGGTGTAGTACAGGGGCAGAATGGCAATTTCATGAAGTCTTTGTTCTTTTTCTAACAATGCTAGTTACCCATTTAAATTTAAACAGCAATGGATTGTATGAAATAAAGCAAAGGAGGTCTGGTGCAATGAAATGAGAATTTCCACATGCAAAGGACATGTAATTCATTTGGCCAGAATTATAAAATGGAGTGATTCAATTTGTGAAAATCTTTTGTGAGGCCTTTTGTAACAGTTTGTCTAAGTACAAAAAAAATTACGCGTGTATTTTTTTTACACCCAGAAACCATCATGTGTTCTGCAGTGGGGAAGGGAGCAAGGTGTGTGTGAGAGAGAGAAACAATGCAGGGTTCTTTCTGGATCTCTTTAAGAAAGGCTTGACAACAAATGGCTTAATGAAATAACTGTTTTAGTAAGACAGGGTAAGAGGCAGAATATAGATAGTGAGTAAATCTTACATCCCTTCAGATGCTGGTAACCCTGTGTTTGTGCAGCATCAGATGGACCCCGGGTGGATTTTTCCCAGGGCACGCTGAGCAGGTCCTGTCCATGGAGAGAAGCTCCTCCTGTTTGGTCATTCAAGCTATTATATCTTTTTCTTACAAGAAAACAACTCTGTTCATGAAGGACGTTCACAGGAGAACTTCTTGTTGCCCTTTTAGACAAAGGCAAGGCCAGGCAGGAGGCATGACCACGAGTACCAAGTGGGAGCTGCCTGCAGATTCCTGTTACAGTGAGCTGGCTGAGTTTATCCTGTGCCCAAGCACAGGATAAACTGCAGCTGATTGATCTGTGCAGCACAACACAGGCTGCACCGACTCAGGTTAACTGTGACATAGATCTCTGATCAGGTTAACTGTGATGTGGATCTCTGACTCATCGATGTACAGTGAGTGGTCTCTGGGACAGGATTGCCATCTTCCACTTCCCTTGATCCACATACAGTTTGCCTTTCCCAGAGATACTGTAATTTATGGGTTATATTAATAACATTAATAACTCAAACCTTGGGTACAAGGCCCAACAGAGCAGACATGGCCTGTTCAAGATCACTATTTCCGCAAATACAACATTTTCCACAGGGTCCCAATACAGTAACTTACCTCCCAGATTTTATCAGGTGTATACTCATCATCCTTTAAATTATGCATAATATTTCAGAACTAATGTACTGTAAATATATTTCAGTCTTGTTACTATTTTGGCTTAGAAAAATCATTAATTTGAAAGCTTGTTGTTGTGGATGTATTGCAGCTACCATTGAACTCACAAGTTTATGAGCTCTTAACTTTTCTTATGGATTGGATCTCAGACCAGCTCCTTAGCAGATTAAAAATACAAGAAGACAGAGAAGATAGTCATAAACTTCCGGTTACCGAGACCTCCAAAAAAACCTGCACCCAGGAAAGGTGTATGAAGGTAAAGGGGTTTGGATCGTTTGCTTGTGTTAATATGTTTCTGGATTTATGTGGTTTATTAAATGATTCTGAGAATATAACAGGTCAGCCTGTTTTATACATGCTTTGGTTACAGTAATTAAAACAAAATCACAGTTAATAAGTCAGCAGTCATTCCAGCAGTGAGATATAATAGGTAATTTGTCATTTGTAAAGCATATAGACCATTTTTAAGGAAAAGTCTGATGTTCAGTCGCAACTTGAGAGTTTCAGCATTTTATGTCAAGTCACTTCTGTCAGCTCATGATTTGTCTTGTGTTTTATATGTAATACTGTACATAAGTCTTTTTTTTTAAGGAGATGAACATGGCTCATTTAAACTGTATGGAAGCTTATATTAGATGTTAAAGGTGATGCTATGCTATACTTTTAACACGTTTATAGTTTTCTTTCTGGGGATACCAAGGTTTGGAAATCAGTGAGGTGTTCAGAAAATCTTCTTTTACTGTTTTTCTTCATTATATTAAAGATTTACAGCCATTGGGATTGGCTTTCCTGAGATTGAACTCACATGATGTATCTCCACTTTTGCATGTAAACCTCTGTAAAATTTAAAATCTGTGTATGCATGTAATTGTGTTACTTGTACTGGATCTGCCCATTGAGTACTTGCATATGTAATCTGTTAAACTCTGAAAGAAAGTTGGAGTTTTGGTTGGTTGGTTTTCACTTATGGTTAGCTTATACAGTAGTTTCATGTACTGCATGTAATTATACTTTTGTATATTTTTACAGCTTTTGCCTATTACTACTGAGCAACTCCAGTGGATGCCATTTGTGAATCCTAAACTACACATGCCTGTGATTAAATTTATTTACTGGTCTATAAGACAGCTAGACAGTAGTATTCAGGTAAAATAATTAGTCCTCTTGCAGTATGGGTATTTTAAAAGTAAATTCCCAGAAGATATTAATGGATTTTGTGTTTTAAATGCACATGAAAAGTGGATGTTTTCAGGTAGTATATATACAAGAAACTCTGCTGTCTTTGTAAAGCATAAATCCATAGTGTTTACTACAGATACATGGCAAATGAAAAAAAATATTTTTCAAGGTAATTTTAAATTTTGCATTGTGTATCTAAGCATAGTTTTCATAAGTATGTGATCTCTGTTGCAGTGTCTAAGCATCTAAGAAATTATATTTTTACATATGTATTTACAAAACTTTTTTACTTGAAAAGGCAATATTTTTAGGTTCACTTTATGCATGACATTTTTTTAAATTGATGGAAGTACATGGCAAAGTAGCAAAGAAATTTTGATTTTTCTGTTCTCTGTGCAGTGTCTAACCTCAAGACATTCCTTAGTCCCTTTGACTAGACTGCTATAAGAAAATATTTAGCAATATAATAAAGACAGTACCTGTACTGTAAAGACTCAGTATAGTGCACAGTGCTGTCAGTAGTGCTTTTGCTAAAGCACTTAGAATATCCTTACAAAATAGAGTTGACTCAAGCCAAGCTTGTTCTGGAACCAGAGGCAGCTTAAATAATGCCAGCATATCAGGGGCCCTCACTAACTAGTCTCTTTGTGAAGTGTGTGTTGATAAGGCTCCGCGATAATGTTGTTCAGCTACTTTTGGAACACAAAGTAGGATCTCCTGTACAGATTATATTCCAATACGTCATCAAACCATGTACTGTTTAATATGTAGTCACTAGGGGAACATATGTGTATCTACATAGTACACAGGGTTTTAATATTTACACTAACTGTGTGCGTTGTTTGAAACAGCATGTAACAATGACATCAACAATGAGGAGACTTGGTGAAGATATTTTCAAAGGCATAGTAAGTAAGGGAAACCCCCATAGTTCTTCTGAACAATCTACAGAGAGTAAATCAAAATCGGCAGCTTTCTTTAAGAGTTCCTGTATGCCTTTGAGGTTTCTGTCAACTTTAATAGTGCTTAAAACAGTGACACAAGGTAAGTTCTGATTTTTAAAATGTATTTATTTCAGTCATGTGCCTCGACAACATATCAGTGATACTGTAGCATCCATTATGTTTTGTTAGTAAAAAGTATTTTTACTTGAGTTTTACTACCTTGTAAAGCAAAATATAGTGGAAACGAGTATGAATCTTGCTTTTATTTATTTCGTGTTGGAATTTATGCATTCCTTTTAGTATGCTGACTTCTTGTCAGACAAATCAGCATTTCTGAAGATGAGGAAAAGAGATGTTGATAATTCTGTCAAACTGTCCCTATAGCAGTAATTGGATTGCAAAGATCTTTACTGCATAGAAAGGCACAGCTAGTTGCTCTTTTATCAACTAAGTAGCAGATTTTGCACAGTTCTAGAATTTCACTGTCCTGTTTAAGCTAGTAGGTTATTTACCTATCCCCCGAAAGTCTGATCCACTGCAGTGTCAAGTGTTTCTTTTCTGACATCATTACAACTTTGCTGCATTTATCTTTATAGATAAATCTGATGTTCATAGGTATTTCTGACTTATCTGTAGTCACATAAAGCAAGCCACTTGTGTAATGGATTATAATTGTTAGATTGAATGGTGATACAATATATGTCTTGAAATTGCTTTGTCCCTTGGCCTAAGTTTAGTATCCAGTTCACACTCCAGCCCTTCCTTACTTGTCTGCTGGTCCCCTCTTCTACTGCATCTGGCACTGCAAACGGCTACCCATAAAACATTATCAACATTGAAAAAGGCTACTCTATGAAATCATCAGTTCTTGATATGATTGTCTGTTCAGATTTCACTGTTAAATAGACTCATTTACAAAGGCACCATGTTCTGTTCATTTAAAAATGTTTTAGACTTCAAAACCACCTCAGCATGAAAAGTCACCTTTTTATCCAAAATCTTCCAAAATTCCCACATTGATGATAGTAATGTACTTTATTAACAAGGCAAAAGCAAACAAGGTCGTATCAGGAGATAGCACAGCTCTGAAAATAGTGACTTCAGCTTCAGGTTATGACAGGTTACTCCGCTTGTGCAGTTTTCGAGATGCTGTGGAATATCTTCTCTGTGGAACCTTCTTTGAAAACAGATACAATCTGAAAAGACTAAAACACTTTCTTTAAAGTGATGACAAAAAAGGACTGTTTCTTGTGAGCTCTGAGTGTTGAGCACACTATGAGAAGAGGCACAAACTAAGATATTTAATGCCTTCCTTCCTTATCATTTTAACATACGGATTAGTGTACACTTTTCTGTCACAACCCAAAGAAGAAAAACCTTCAATCAATCTGATTTATAGGGATAGTTTAAAATTAACTTCCAGATTAACTTCGGTCATTTAAACAAATTCTTACCTATTTCTAATTTATATATGACTTCTTCGAAAACTTCGACAGTAGTACCTAATCTGAACTACGCTTGAAGGTTCTCAATCCTTAAATCTGCAGATTTGATGAGTCATCCAAAAGAATGTCTTATTTTGACTTCTATTATTAACTTTCTCTTTTGACTTAATTGTTTTAATTCAGTAATGGTTTCAGTGGTTTCTATGAAGTAATTTTGTTCACCTATGCAGAAAAAGCATAAAAGCATTAGAGTTGATAGGTCCCCTCTGAATCCTAAATGCGATATAATTGCCACACATTATCAAGTTGAGCTTCTGACTATATGGAGACTTGATTTTTTTTGGTGTATTTATTTCTTTGACAACCAAAAAAGAAAAGGAAACATTCAAATATCCTCTTAAACGATATACTCCAGACAGTAACTAAAACAGCTACATCATTCTCAGCTTACACTTCTGCCTTTTGTTAACCAAAAAGAATCGGGGAGGGGTGGCATTGGAAGGGGGCATCACAGGGTGAGTGACTCTTTTCTTTCACTGTGAGGCTTTTGGCTGTTTCTACTTTGTTCCCAGGATCCTCCCACCTTTCACGCTAGCAGAAGATGTATAATAGTAATGTAAAGTAGAATTCTCTACTTAAAACCTATATAATTTTGTGTTGGCAAAGAAATAGGGGAAGTTGGGTCTTCTCTGCCTCAAGGGAGAGGGAGAAGGTAAAGGTTTCAAAGTACACACTACAAGTTAACAAGAATCAGATTGTGTCTGGACAGGATGAGAAAAAGCTGTGGAAAATATATCTCAAAGAATAGAGTAGCTGTTCTCTCAGCTGATTTGTTAACTGCTGCCTCCAGTTATGAAGCCTTTTCTCTCTTCAAGCAAAATGGGGAACAAGAGGTGTTGCAGATCCTTTTCATGGAAGTCAGGCAGAAACACTAATTATATACTATTAAGAGCAGGTGTAAGAGGTGATTACTGTCTACTTGCAGCAACTTAGGAGTACTGCGGTGCCACGTAACTGTGATTTTCTGCAAGAGTAAGTTTTATAAGGATATAAGAATGTATCTATAACCCTTTTCTAACTCTTTGTGATACCACTTATTTTTCCATTTTCAAAGACATTTTAAAAGCACAGATAATTTTAATAGCAAATAATTGTTCAGTGGGGTTACAACTATGATCAATGTAATCTAACTTCAGAGATGGTTCTGCTTTGGGCAGAACAGTTGGACTAGATTCCAACCTAAATTATTCCATTATTATGTTTTTGCTGTCTTTTATTTTCAGAATGGTTTGTATTTTAAAATACCTTTACTGGTAACACATCCTCTCTGCTAGTAACACAAAGAGGTGGAGACAGGTTACAGAGATGTTAATTTTCAAGGTAATCCTGAAAAACCATGGCAGAATGTCAGAATCAAATGCCTACTTTGGCATCTGACTTTTTTTTCAGTCTCTTGCATGAAATATGTTATGAATTTTGGGCCATTTCTTAGAAAGCCGAGATCCACATCACAAAATTGCTGCAGTCTCTGGCACCCTGATTGACACTAATCAGGGGTGCCAAAGATTTTAAATCCATAGATAATGAATAATGTTCTTGTTCATGGAAGTCATCATTCTGGATCAGATGGTTAAGCAGATTAGTATGTCTTTATGCTTCATTGACCTGTGCAGTATTTATATTGTGAGTATTCACAGTAAATGCAGGATTTAAACATGGTGGAAGACCACCCTGACATCGTTAATGAACGTATACAGTATCACAGCTGTTGGAGGGAACTATTTCAGTCAAGATATTTTGGTGAAGCATGATAATTACTCTTAAACTGACACTCACATTTCTAGAAATGTTTGATAAAATTGATGCAGAAAGAATTGCAATACACAAAAATAGTTATTGCAGAGATTTTATTACCCTAAGCAAAATGAATGCTGTTGATTACAATGAATCAGTTTAGCTTCTCATGGTTGCTTTTTCCTGCTGGCTTCTATAACATGGAAAATATGATTTATTGTTAAACATATGTTGAATATCACTGTGTATAAATTTTGATCACTCTGACCACATGGCACTAATGATTTAGTGATAAAGAAGCACATGTGGTTTGAACATATATTCCATTTCCTTCAAGATGTCAGTATCCAGCAGATGGCACTGTGGTTAAACTTTTGCTATGAGAGAAATTGTTTCCTTGTACTTCATTTTCTGTGCTCCAGATGATCAATGTTATTCCAAGATACTGAGAAAGATTTGACATCAGGAAATTAAGAAAATTAGATTGATTCACTTAATCTACATTCTTTGTATAATTTAGTGCACTCTACAGTGGATGAGTGTATAAAATGTATGCACTGAAACTTAAACTACAGCTTTTTATAGAAAAGAATGAGTTGCTTTCATGAAAGTAGTTTTTCTTATTCAGACAAATCAGTCCTGGACTCCTTTAATAGAGTTTTCCCAGATGTTGAAACCAACAATGTCTCAAACTATGCAAGCTTGTAATTTCTTTCCTCTTAAGCAAAATATTAGAAGTACTTTATATTGGTAAGTATATTTTTCTTCAACATAGGAGTTGTAGTTAGTCTTTTTCTTCACTCATAACAAATTGTTAAGGAATAAAAACAAGCAGAGGGTGTCTTTAAATAAAAATAAAATTTAATATTTTTCAGCCATTTAACTTTTAAGTATATATCTGCAACAGTAACTCTCAGGATAGCTATTCACATATTGCTTAATGGAACTCTTATTATAGAAGTTTTATTGCCTATATTCTGATATCTTTCAGTGGATTACCTGGCTCAAGCATTTGATTCCCTTCGCATAGACTTGAAGACAGATGAAGGGAAGGCCTTATTTTTGGAATACCAATGTGTGCCTGTCATATTAAGTCACTTAAAAGTATCCAGTAGAGGTCTGCTTTCCAGTGCTCTTGATGGATTACTTCAGATGACCATGGAATCTGGTAAATTTGTGTAATTAAAAAAAATAAAACCATAAAATCATGATGAAAACAGGTGAGGTAAGCATAAATACAATGTAAAAATAGCATGAGTCTTTGGTATAAATAATTAATCTAGTATTAGCATTCATTTGTATCATGTTAATTCATTAGGTAAAATGTATTTCAGAATTGTCTGTTGCTTTCTGAGTTGTCTTTTCTTCACCCTCTCAGCACCGATGCTTTATATTTTGTCCTGGTTACTTTCTTATTTATCGGTGTGAATATTTTGGTTGCTATTTTTGGTATGGGTTTTCAGTTTATTCCACTCTTCTACCTTGCAGATGTTTTTCTTTGAAGTCAGGCTGTGCCAGGGAAGCCATATCGTGAAAACCTGCCAGCAGGTGGAGATAAAAAATACGCTTTATTTAAATTCTTTTTTTTAGTTTGAATGAACAGCTCATCCCTAGTCATTTTTCAGTTTCTAATAATTGGAAATGGCATTTCTAGAAGAGATGGTTATGTTTTGCTGAATTTTACTGTGCTGTGGCCCTTTAAAAGGGTTAATAATCTTGTTTGTCACAGCGCTTTTCCAAATGATACGGGCTAAGAATCAACTGATAACCAACTGGATGAACATGAAGGTAGTGAGACATTCCAGTGCCATGTTGAACAAACCTTTTGACTGTTTGTGGGGGTTTTTTTAAAGATAAAAATCACTCAGCTGTCCGGCTGTGTCCCCTCCCAACTCCTTGTGCACTCCCAGCCTCCTCGCTGGTGGGGTGGTGTGAGAAGCAGAAAAGGCCTTGGCTCAGTGTAAGCACGGCTCAGCAATAACAAAAACATCCCTGTGTTATCAACACTGTTTTCAGCACAAATCCAAACCATAGCCCTATAGTAGCTCCTCTAAAGAAAATTAACTCTATCACAGCCAAAACCAGCCTAGTAGGCTAGGGATAGCATTTAACAAGGAAATTTTTTATAATAGAACTGCAGCATCATTTTTTGGCACTTTAGAAATGTCATGTTTTTTTCTAGGGCTTTCTTTGCAGTAGCAGCAGTATCTCATGGCTACTATTTGGGAAAGATTATAAAGCAATAAGGATCACTTGAAATAAATCTAGTTAAAATTAATAAAATAAAAAGGACAGTAAACCAGGTTTTGTTTGTCAAGATCTACTTCTCTGTCATTCTCTAAATGTGTGTTGACACTTGCCATATGCTTCTGTCAAGGTAAGGCTAACCTTAATAAAACAGGTTGTCTGTTTATAAAAAGACTCCCACAGAGTGGTTAGAAGAAGTAAAATCTATGTGGTGAGAGGCAGCCGATAGCCAAAATCTCTGTGTATAATGCCACCTTCTATGCAATGTGCCCGCACATGTTTTTGCATGTTTGGGCACATCTATGCCCTTAAGACTGTGGCTGATGAAGGTAACTATCAGGGTTGGAGTTCAAGCCATAAGAAATACTTCATTTAAAGATCAGTACCCCTTCAGTTCAAAGGCTAATGAAACTCTTTGCTCATTAAGAATTTGGAACTCCTTTGTGTTTTCAGTGAGCTTATGCATTCCAGTCTGAAGGAAAAAGCAGGTGACAGCTTTTTGCACTGTACAACTCAATTGTGTGAAGTACAAAGTATAGGTTACTATACCAAATGACCCCTACACAAATTCTAGTGATAGACTTTCTTTCAGGAAACCTGACTTGCAATCCCCAGGTCTAACAAGAGCAGTGAATATTACAGATAGTTTCAGTGAATTTGTACTCTTGCATTACCTTTCCCATTCATGCCTTCATGATGAGGTACTGTTGAAGCAACATCTGAATGATCACTTAGATGACAGAAGAGCTGAAAATCTTAGTAATTACCTTAGTAGCCAGGGATTAGGTATTTCATTCCTACTCCAAAGACAAAAGGGGGGTATCAGCTTATTTTGACCCTCTTTGTGTCAAGGTCTATCCATTCATATTCTTAGTGGTAAAACCATTTGTCATCATTTTGTCATTAAAGCCACAAGATGGGCTATCAGCCTTCAAGGTGCTTTTTTTGGTTTGTCTCTTAGTATTACTTCAGATTCCAGGTTGGAACATTTTTGATCACTGCTAGGATCAGGGTTTACTTTTTGATTCCAGCTTAGTGAAAGCTTTCCATATTCCACAGGCATGATGCCAACATAGTAGATCTTTGTTAAACCAGCTACAAGCTTATTTAAAACTAGAAATAAAAATATGCCTGAGGTCCACAGCTTCATGAAAAGTTTGTCTGAGTTGACATGTGTTCTGTACAAGACTGGGTAACACTAGTGTACCTGTCCAGCTAGACCTTAGAAACATGGCAGTCTTAACACCACAGGAATTCTGTGAAGAAACGATTAAGACTTTACATACCCTTGGGAAGCTTATTTGTATAGGTTTCTTGAAACTTAGATGCATCATCATAGCATGCAAAGCTCCAGAGCCCGCGTTGTAGTATACAATTCAGTCACATTATTTCTTGGAAGGGTCCAAGTTATGTGTATTTATCGAATTGGGACCTCAAATTGCATATATGTCACCAGACTACATTATGGTTTGGGTATCAGAACTTTGATAGTATTCCAGCTGCACAGGCATGTCCCAGACATCAGTGAGTTTTCATGCTGTTGTATAATTCTGAAGTATGGTGCCAGCCAAAACTAATCTCACCATTTTGTCCCAATCATTCATGGTTTTGGAACTGTAACAGTATGTCACAGATACAGGGAAAAAAAAAAAATATATATATATATATGCCAATTGTGTTTGCTTCACCTCTTTTACAAAAATGTTAAAGCCTAAGAAGGAGGGTAAAATCTTACACTGATTACTGTTCTTGTAATATACAAAACCATTCATAATTGGAACAAAGGCTGACTTTTTAAATGTCGGGGGGGAGAAAGTTGAGGTTGACCTGCTAGAGATGTTATGCAGTAATTTCAGAGTTTGCTTTGTGTCAACAGAACTTCAGTTTCAGCTTACTTTCATGCTATAATAGTCTTTTTCTTTCCCCTTTTCCTTGTCCCCTTTCCCCTTCCATTTTTTTTTTCCATCTTCTAGTACTTCTGTGGATTCTGTTCACTACTTTTACTGTTACTACATTTGAGGAAAGAAACTTTGCAACTGAGTGAGTTTTTACCTAGCTATTTGCTTTCTAGCAAATACTTGCTTCATTTAACCTACACTAGAAACTTGATAAGTAGCTGAAATTAAGGTGCAAGTAATTGTTCAGGTAAACAATATAATTTTAAATAATTTCTGGTTTATTTCATATCGTTTGCATTCTTTTCCTTCAGGTGAGCTTAGTGGCCTAAGTTGAAGTCTAGTTGATTTAGTCTGCTATTTTCAGTGGAAGTAATAGGTTGCTTCTAAATTCCATGGTTGGGAAAGTTAACAGCTTGTTATGAACCTGACAGTAGAAAATCAACTCAACACAGATATTTTACTCCTTTTACTACATTATGCTAATATTTTTGTCTAAAAATGTTCATAATTATGCATAAATCAGTACATTTCAACCTGTTCAGTCTTCTATTTTAAATGTACTTTCCAATAGCTGATATGAACACAGCACCGAAGCAGTGTTTTAGCTGTATTTTCACTGCAGCTATCTCATCAGTGCTGATTTTGTTTCATGGTCAGACGGGAAGAGTGCCAGTTCAGGTTTATCCTTTTCAATCTCTTATTTGACTCTTCATACCCATTACCAGGATTTCAATCCATGTTTGTTTTCTGGAGGATGCCCATCTTTCCTTTGCTGCGAAGACTGGCTGATAAAAGCTGAATCAAGGGAGCAAGTCCTGCAGTCTTTTTTTTAATGTTGGTGGTGTTTTGCTTGAATCTGGGGCTTCAGATGAGTGCCATTACATTCAACTTGATCCTTCTTTTGGTCTTTGAAACTAATAAGTGGTCTAGAAAGACATCTTTCTTGCTTCCCATTGAGTAAAAGGGGAAGAGATATATTCCTGC